GAAAATATGACCTACCTACCTTCCCCGAAAGTAAGTCCTAGCTTGATTTCTACACATGCACCCAATATAAGCCCTACCCAAAATAAGCCCTAGTTAAGACTCCGGGATGCATGGGTATAAATTAAGCTAAAGTGGGGATGATGGATAGAGCTGCCCTACCACTTACCTTTGGACAGTTGCAGCCAGACCTCGACACCTGCCTTGCCAGGTCATTTCTTCTGCAGCCAGCAAGGCCAGCAAGACTCTCCTAAAGGCCTGCACCCCATAACAGAGCTCCGGATGGATCCAGACCTCTGTTACCAGCTGCAGAGGCCTCCAGGAGAGCCTTGCCGGCTGCAGAAGAATTCCCTGAAGGCCTCTGACAGTGAAAAGAAGGCCAACACACGCAAGTGAGGGGAGCCACTGGATGACATCCACCCCCAGAATAAGACCCGGTGCCTTTTTTGGTGGCAGGAAAAAATATAATGCAGGGTTTTATTTTTTTTGGGGGGGGGGAATAATAGATACATGCAATTCGCTCTTGACCATGTGATGAAGAAAAAAAATTACCATGTGAATTGGTAGGAAAAAGTTGCAAGTTCATTGCCATAAGTCTCAGGCCTTCAGCTGTGATGACGCCTGACTCCTTGCCTCATATGAGCTTCTGCTGAAGGAAGTTTCACAAGCACACATTTGGCATCCACATACACTGTTTAAGTTGGCATGCCCACTTCCTCCAAAGAAGGTCAACAGCTGCACACCTGCATCAAGAAACTCTTTTTTTTTGTTTCAATCTACATCCTGTCCTTCTGCTTATATTTCATTAAACCCTGTTTTCTTGTGTGGTCTTACCCTGAGCTGCTCTTTCCAAATGCCTGAAATCATTACTGCATCTTTGGATCAAGCCTCCAAACGAAGAAATATCATCCTTCAATGTGATGCATTTGGAAATCTTTGCCAAGGAAGGTGGTTAGTATTGTGTGCTATGCTTTTTGTAGATTGAGAATGTTGCTCATTCTTACATTTTGCAAAATATATTCATTTCCCTTTTTTTTAAAAAAAGTGTTTGCATTTCATTTTTATTTCAGGATTAAAGTTCTGGTAAAGTACACCTTGCAATATTTGTGGGGGTGGTTTATACTCCTGGAAACAGAATTCTGGGTTTGTTGTTTACTTTTTGATGGTGATTTTTGAGCATGCTGTGTTGTTCGAAGTGTTGTGGGCAGATTTTCCCACCCTGTCTGTAGGAGTATATGGGAATGATTGTGGGGGAGAGAGAGCAAAGGGAATAGTCAGATAAGAGACAGCGTAACCCACAGCTGCATAATGGGCAGAGAAAAAAGCTCACAAGGGAACCCTTGATAAGTCAGGCTGTAAAGGTGACAGCAGGAGAATTGCATTTTCAAACTTCCAAGATTTTTTAATGGATTTTACCATAAAATAAAATTAGCTCATCAGTGTGTGTTTCCTGTCTTAGTAACTACAATATCAACACTGTCAATTATGATGTTTGCTTCTATGAGTAGACTATGTTTAAAATACGTTGATGAAAGAATGATAGATGTAGAACAAATTGTATTGAATAAAACAGAAAAAGTATTGGAAGTGGAACTACAAGTGACATGCCAAGAGAATGATTTGGAAAAGGACACTTTACTGGGTATACAAAAGAAATTGGTCAATGGTTCAAAATTTAAAAGAGAAGTGCAAACAATAAACCAAGTCGATGGCCTGGAAAATGTTTTCTTATTGGATCTACAAAAGAGGCTTGTTAAAGTCTTGAAGAAATCTGTGCGATAGCATTTGATTTCTGTTCAATTTTTCTGTATCCCAAGACAATATCTGACTGAGTTAAAGATTAAAACTGTTAGAAACAAAAGTAAGGAATATAAAGTTGGTTTATTTTACCAAGGTTAAAATAAGACATTTCTTTTTTCAGTATTCTGGGAATCCTTTCTTTGCAGACACCAGGAAACTTGGAAAACTTCATGTTTATGGATTTCCTTATAATCAAGGGATGAAGAAATATCTGTAACCTTACATCGGTTGAAGAGTCACTAAATTTGTTTATACCTGTTGCGATAAAGGCTGGAGGACCTTTCTTCATGTTTCTTTTTCTTTATTCTTTTCTTTTTCTTTCTTTCATTTTTTTCCCTGCACATTTTTGTTCCCCATTCTCTTCTCTGCCTGTAAGTTTAGTTTGTATTAGATTTTTACTATTGTAATTAAAATTCTTAAAATTGGAAGGACGCTGAAGAGGAGGAGGAGGTCTGTTTGCCCACTTGATTCCTTTCAGCAGTAACATCAGTTTGGAGATCTGTGAGAGGATATTATCAAAAACACCTGAACTCGAAATATTATTAGTTTCATCAATAAGCCTTTTCATCCTGCTGTATTTGCTTCGGTGCGTATTTAAAAATGACAATGCATTAGGAGTATTGTAGCACAACCTGGTGGGAAATTAATGAAGTGCAAGAGAAACGTTCAGAATTGGACAGAGAAGCTGAGCTGCAGACTTCCCCCCACCCCACCCCAACCTATTAAAGTAGTGTTTCTCAACCTTGGCGACTTTAAGTCCCATGGACTTCAACTCCCAGAATCCCCCAGCCAGCACAGCTGGCTGGGGGATTCTGGGAATTGAAGTCCACGGGACTTAAAGTCGCCAAGGTTGAGAAACACTGTATTAAACAGTTGTTTAAAATTCACTTGGTGCATACATAGTTTACCCAGACAGATGACTCTACATTTAAGATATCATGCACACACACACAACTTCAAAAGAACAACAACAAGAGGAACGAAATAGTAATAAAAAGAACAGCATTAAATGGGAAGGACAAAGAACAACAAAATGGAAGCAGGAAGGTAATTGGACAGCAAAAGTGTTCAGAGAGAGAGAATATTCCTGGTTATGCAATGCAAAAACAGTAGGGTTGAATGGCAGGAAGGTCTTCCAAGAAAGAGCTAGTGATTTAATCTTTCAGCTAATTTTAAAAATATTCTCAGGACCGGAGCCATTTGCAATTAGAACCGTTTTTTTTCCGAAGCTGATATCTTTAAGAAGAGTGGACTGTGACATGCTGGCTGGGGAATTCTAGGAATTCAAGTCCACTCATCTTAAAGTTGCCAAGATTGAAAAAAACACTGATCTGTACCATGTATGTTTTCCTAGTATTTTCCCCCTCCCCTACTTATTTATCATCCCTGCAAGATGACACCCATTCACACGTAATCTTTTAACCAGCCCATGAAGGTGGTCGTGTACATCCACCTGCTACTCTTTAAAGCAGCTGAATTTTTTCCTGTGAGTCATGCAGCTGCCCTCCACAGTTCCTTTGATACAGAGAAAAGTTGCATTCCTTTAAAGAGTTGCCAACAGGTGTTGTGCCCGTCTCCCTGTTTCTCTGCATTGAAAGCCAGGTTTGCCCTCAATACCTGAAGCCCCACGCGGCCTTTATGATTTCCTGGGTCTCCCCTTTGCCGTTACTCCAATTTGTGAAAATTGCATGCTTTTTTGTTTCCTGTTTTTCTGAAAATTTAGAAGCTTCCTTACAAATAGTCCTTGACTTATGACCATCATAGAGCCTACCCCTCGTGGTCATAAGTCATGAGAATTGTAAAGCAGGTCACCCATATGACCGTTGCAATTTTAGGACCCTTTTTTACAATGGTCAATGACTACCATGGTCATTAAGTGAATCAATGGTTCACGGTTTTGCCAGAAGCCGGAAGTAGATCTGATTTTTGACAAAAATGTTGTAAAAAGGGATCATGTGACTCCCGCAGTGCTCCAAATGGCCATAAATGTGGGTTGCTTGTCAAATACAAATATAGACCATGGGGGGGGGGGAGCAGCAATCCGAACTTCAGAACGAGGTTGTAGGCAGTAGTTGTAACTGATCATTGATAGTTATTTAAAAACAAACACGAATGTTATATTATATATATAACGTTTGGAAGGTTTAGCCTTACATATTGTCTGAAGTTTTTTTAATCATAATTTTACTTTCTTCTTTATAAAAAAAAACCCCTACACATTATATTTTTTTTAAAAAAATAGGAATGGTCCAAAAATATAACATCCTGATATTATAAAATAATAAAAATAAAATAATCTGAAACGGTTTTCCATATAAAATTTAATACAAAGTGCAGCCTTTCCAAAGGAATAAACTATAAAGAATAAAATATAGCCTCTTGTAAATAAAACTTCTATTCAAGCCGTAGAAACAGAGTACAAAACAGAACATCTGTATTAACATGTCTAAGTAAACGTTAGCTGAATTAACCTTATGCAGCTTTCAGCATTCATAACTTGAGATTTGTTGGTGAATTTCTTGTACATACAGTGCCATCTCGAGGCCACGTCTAGATTTGCAATTCAAAAACTTTTACTAGAAAGTTGTGCTTTGGCAAAACACTTCTATGTTGCTGTTGGAAAAAAGGACATCTATCATACCTTCTTCACTAGCTGAGCTCAAGTCAAAGGAATTCTAATTTTTTCAGGTTCTTGTTCAGATTCTGTGTCCACGTTTATACTAACCCAGGTCATAAACTTTATTTTACATCTCTCTTGTTTTGATAACATTTGTTTGTTGTCTCAGTTCATCATTGCAATGTGACCTGCAAGACTACAACCTGTTTTAATATCCTAATATAATATAAAAATATATTACGGCATATGCAGGGAAGGTTAAAACAAAATCAAGATGGTGACTACAAGCTTATACTTGAAGCCTTATCCTTTTTTTTAAACAAACTCTGGGCATTCAGAATCAGCTGTGCTTTCTTTCTGGATACCAACCTGAATATTTTCACAGACAAAACTGTTTATGAATAACTTTCTTTCCTCTTAACAACAACAGCAACAACAAGGAAGAGAAGAGCAGTTCTCTTCTTTTGGAACTATGGAAAAGACCTTTATAAAAAAAAAAGTGTGCTGTGCTTCGAAAAATATTAAACAGCACAAATCACAGCCAGTGATTAAAATTCTATGCAAACACGCATACAAAATTCACAGTCTTATTATATCTATCCAAAAGTTTCTCATCCTTCCACATTGTTCCTGGGAGGAAAATAATCCTTTGCGTTTTACAAGATGTGTTCTGTAAAGGAATGCCATTTCTAATATTCTGGTTTCAATTTTCTTTTCAAGGAATATTCTCTATGGTGCGGACCGAGGATTGATTCAAATTCTAAGCCATGCCACTTAAAACTGGATTTGTAGGTCCATTAATAGAACTCTCTGCTTCCCTAGATGTATCCTTGGCTTTGAAATCATCGCACATCTCAGCATCATTTCCACTTTCGTGACTCATAAGTTGGAAATCAGACTCCAAAGAGTTACTCCCTTCTTCCTTCTTGACTTCATTCTGGGTGTTAGTAATTTGTTCGTGGCATTGGGCATTTTGTAGCTGTCCATTCTGGGCAGGATACAGGCTTGCAATAGCATCATATAGAAACTGATAACCTTCCTAAATGGCATTTAAAAAAGAGAGAGTTAGCATATGCGCAAATCCACCATGTAGTTTTACTTAATGATATGAAAATGCTCCAAAACCTGAGAGAAAGACACAACATAGTGCCTAGACTTAATTAGTTAATATTTTCCAGTGTTTATAAAGTTCTGCTACTCTCACATTTGGTTTTGATGAACACAAGAAGCCTTTATAAAGGATGCTTAAATAGAAGATCTGAGTAACCACTGGCAACGTTTCCTAAACTGTAGATTCTCACTTGTCCATCATTTACCATCCCACCCCCCTGTGATAGCACAGAGTTATAGCAGAGGGTCCCACAGCAGGCACAGGAAAGTATCCCCTCTCTTAAATATACACAGAACAGAAGCCAAATTTATAGAAGTAGTTACTTCTTCAATTCAACAAAGTATGTGTGGCCTACTTTATTACTAGCAAATATGTTCAGTATTCAAGAATTAAATGGCCCTCCAAAATAAATAATAAGGCAAAATACACCAGCAAAGGAATCATTGTTTGGACATTTTCCTACTGAATGGTAATAATGACAGTGGAAGTATTTCTATAGAACAGATAGACTTTAAAAAAGAAAATAAAAGCAATTAAGCAGTAATATATTTTACTTACAAAGGAGGAAATCATTTCTGTTCTGGCTCTACGAAGAGCTTTCACAACTTGGAAAACGTCGATTACGCCTTCAGTCTCAGCACATTCCAAGAGATTTAGCAAAGCACAAAATACTCCGGTTTGTTTAGAACCATCACTATAAAATATATATGTTAAATATATGTGTATATGTATATATCAAAATCAGAAATACTAGTTAGCAGCAGCAGTGAAATGGAAAGACCAACAAAGCTTAACATAGTACAGAGAGTCTTTATGGCCACAATTGAGCATGAAATTGATGTTGCCAAGTGAGGAATTTGTTGAGTTTTGCACCATTTTACAACCTTTCCTGCCACCGTTGTTAAGTGAATAACACGGCTGTTAAGTGAATCTGGTTTCCCCATTGTCTCCGCTCGTCAGAAGGTTGCAAAAGGGGGATCACGTGACTCCGGGACACTGTCATAAAGGTGAGTCAGTTATTAAGCATCTGAATGTAAAAGTCGTGTGATCACGGGGATGCTGCCATGGTCATAAGTGTGAAAAATGGCCGTAAGTAACTATTTACAGTGTTGTAACTTTGAACGGTGAACTGTTGTAAGCCGAGGACCACCTCTACAACATATGTACAACTACTCTAGAAGAAATTAGAAAGAATGGCTAAATCCTAAATTAACAGAAGTTCTTAAAATGTAGGCGAAAAACAAACAACTTACTTTGATATTAAAAGAAATGTTGCTACCATTTTTGAGATAAGGGAAGAAACAAGAATGAATGAATTCCAATGAATTAAGTGTTGAATAATACAAGGGGGATTAAAATTAAGTAATCCCTGGTTCCTTGGAAAGAGCTCCAAGAGATTAGTATGGAACCTTGAACTGAAGCCTGAGGTTTTGATTTAGGGTTCTGTGCAAAGTACAGATTATTATTGACGCAATTTAACCTGATTTTATTTCATTGTTTATATGCTGCCCATCTCGCTCTCCATCTTGCTCGTTGGCTTATTGGCTACATGTGTGAGTTAAAAAAAGTGTAGTTGAACATGGTAGGTTTCGTTTCACATTTTTCTGAGCCTTGTCCAGACTTCTGACTATTAATCCTTGTGTAAAGATAGGTGAAAAGCAAGCTGTGGTTTAACATGTTTGTACACCGTCCACTTTTCTCTATAGCAGCACCAAACTTTTGTTGAGTTGCCTCTAGGAAGGAAGTGCTGTAAGCTTTCGGTGAGGATCTGCGTTGCACTGGATTACGGATGCTTCATAGATTCAGGTAAAACAGTTTTGAATTCAGACAGAATGAATACTTATTCCAGAGTTTGGTCCTGGCTAATATGTAGCCACCGTGTGAAAGGGTGCCGCGTGGAAAAATAGACTCTAGGCCAGTGTTTCTCAACCTTGGCCACGTGAAGATGTCCGGACTTCAACTCCCAGAATTCCCCAGCCAGCATTCGCTGGCTGGGGAATTC